AAGTCGGGTGGCATGTCTTTGAATAGGTTTTTGGGTATGCTCTTTCCGATTTTGCAATTTTTTTTTCAAAATTCCTACCCCTAAAGGGCGCACCCCTTAGGGTGCAAAAAAAATTCTGATTTCGACGAAATTTGGTATCTGGGGTTTTTTTAACATGAAAATCACGAATCTGAAATTAGTTTTTGAAAATTCGAAAAAAAAAGTTCCACTGCAATTCTTGGCGGGACAACGAAAATAGAGATAATTCACGAAATTTGTTGTGTACATACTAAACGAGTTAAGGAACAAAACTGTCGAACAGTTTTTTTAAAATAACTTTTCAAACAAAAGTTATACTCATTTGAATGTTGGTCCTTCGGGTCGCGAAGTGTCCCAAGCCTACTAGTAAGCCAGCTGTTCTTTTGGAAGTTATTTTTCAACCTAAGATTATGAAAATTTTTGATCATAGTGAAAAAGTTCATACGGAAAGTGATTTGACTTTTTCCCCTACCTTATTTAGATAATAAATAATCGATCAGAAGAGATGCAAATTTCACCGCTTTTTTGGGGTAACTCTCAAACGAAACACGTTGGACCCTCGGATTATTTTGAAAAAGTGATTGTTTTGATCCCCTCTACTACCCAATTTTTTACATTTACATCCTTACCCTAACACCTACTATGAACCACGTATTATACATATAATACGTGGTTCATAGTAGGTATACAGGGTGTTACATATAAGGATGTAAAAAATTGGGTAGTAGAGGGGATCAAAACAATCACTTTTTCAAAATAATCCGAGGGTCCAACGTGTTTCGTTTGAGAGTTACCCCAAAAAAGCGGTGAAATTTGCATCTCTTCTTTAATTTCGTTTCAGCAACCATAAGAATTACAAAGACTCTTGGCGCGTCCTTGAATAAGTTTTGAGGAATGTCCTTTTAGATTAGGAAACATTTCTCCAAAATTCTTACAATGAAAGGGTAGTCCGATATTTCTCGGGAAATATAGTGCGAGAACACACTGATAATTATGTTACGAATTGGGCATCTCTAAATGGAGGTGCGAAAAAATTTTGATTTCGATGAAATTTGGTATCTGGGAGATTCGGAACATGGAGAAAATGAAGAGAAGTCCACGAAATTTGTTGTGCACATACTCGATATACTCGATGAGTTGAGGAACAAAATTATCGAACAGTTTTTTTTCAATAACTTTTCAAACAAAAGTTACACTCATTTGAAGATCAGTCGTTCGAGTCAGAAAGTGTCCCCCGCCTACTAGTGAATCATCTAATTTCGCATGTAGTTAGGTGAAAATGTCGCAAATATCAATAAAGTAGCGATTTAAGTCGATATTATGTTTAAATGATATTAAAAAAACTCGATATATCGATCATGGTATGGAACTCTACAAATTGGATTCCAAGAAGATATAGATTGTCCGTGGCTGCGGGTGGTGGGAAAATGTTATTTAAGTAGAGTTCCATACCCCACATCCTATTTAAAGACGTGCTACCAGTCTTTCCAACTCTTATGGTTCCTGAGAATAAAAATTACCTGAAGAAGAAATGCAAATTTCACTTTCACTTTTCACTTTTTTTAAGAAATAAAACACGTTGGACCCTCGGTTTATTTGGAAAAGATGCTTGTTTTGATCCCCTCTATCGCCCAATTTTTTACAAACTTATATCTATATGTAACACTCTGTACCCCTACTACACCGTAAAGGCAGTTTCCACATCGATACGCGGTTCAAATGTTAATGTCGTCGTCGTTTAAATCAACAAAATAAAGTGTCTGGATAATAACAAAATATACATAAATAATCAAACAGCTAGTATGCTAGTTTACATTCATAATTGATCAAAGTTTTCATAACAGCTCCATTATCTACCTAAATAACTAAAAAATGCGCCCAAACATAACTCAGAGACGACAACGGTTACGATATTTCGATTGACTGTTCCGATTGACCTATGACCCGCATCGACCCGCTAGTTCAGTTTGACCGGCAACCTATGTATAATTCAGGCACAATACCTAGGCAATTAGTTTTTTCAGTATTTACCTATTACTTCCCCTGTCAATTGGCATGGTTTAGTAGGAATTGATACAGAATTTGCCTCAGTCATCTTACATTTTCGAAGAAGTCCCTTAGTGTAACTTCTTTGGTTCATAAAAATTGAACCATGATCTAAACAATCAATTTGTACATTCAAGGAACTTCCAACTACTTCATCAATCGTTATCTTAAATTCTTCCTTCAGTTTGTTAAAGAAATCTCTGATGATTTCTTGTTTCGTGGCAGCAGCAAGACCATCGTCAATATAAAGAGTAACCATCAATTTATCATGATTTGCTTTTCTTACCATTGTAATTGTTGGTGGCTGTATGCAGATGATCATTTTGAAGAACGGACCCACTCTTACCCCACAAGCTTTTGTAACTCCTCCTTGGATAATTTTGTTACTCTTTATTAGTTGATCTAAATGACATTTACCTTGTCCAAAGCAGACGCCGCAGAAAAAAGGTTTCTTCGTGCTGTTGGTACATACATCGCGTTTTCCATGTGGCATAGTGTTCCCTATTCCATTCACTGGCCAATTAAACTGTACAGTTCTTTAGACTAGGGCATTCAAAGTGGACTTGCCCCCAATATTAATATTAACAAGTTCTTCAATTAATTCTAACGAAGAAAACCATTCCTTGCGATGTGTGATATGATACGTTGCTTCAGAGCCAACAATCCAGACATCATCTTCCAATAAATGCTTGAGTTTTTGGGCTTGGGGTTTTTTTATTTTCTGTTTTCTTTGGACAATTATTTAGAAGATGGCTAAAAACACTGCTTCAGTGGCAACGTCCCTTAGAAATACCAAATCTCTTAATTTTGCTACATGAAGACTCACCAGAGTCAGTGTGTTTTGTCTTACTAGCGATAAGTGCAAGTATCTCATCTTGTTTTTCAATTCGCTGCCTGTGGCGCTTTTCTTTTGTTCAAAAGTTCCACTAGATTGTTGAAAGTTTGCTGGCTTTCTGACCTTGCCCACCAAGTTTGTCGTAAACTTTCAAATTCGTCAGGAACTGAATCTAGTAATTTAACAACAACCGATGACTCGTCTTTTGCATCTGCAAAGTTAATTCTTCAAATTTTGCGATAGGTTGTACCATGTCATCAAGTGGTTTTTTTAACACAAAAAACTCTGACTGCAGTATGTGTAGCTTCCTTAATGTGCTGCTAGTAAACTGAATGCAGCTCCAACCACATTTCATGTGCTGTTTCACAAGCAACCAGCACCGCTAATACCTTAGAATCGATTGTTTTGTGATCATCTCACTCGCTGCGCGATCCCCAAGCTTTCAGATTGGCCTTATATTCGGATCGATCGGCAACTCGTGCTTCCTCCCTCAAAGGAGCTGACTTCACAATTTCGGCGATGCATACCTCATATGCTCCACCTATTTCTCAAAGTAAACTTCCCAAGAGTCAAGTTTCCCGTTTCTCTGGTGTTTTGATCCCATGCACCCGAAGTTCTATTTCAAAAACAGATTCAATTTCCAAGACGACGTGGAGACTATCTTGAGAATTAGAAACTATTACGGTAAATACGATCAATAGCAGAAGTTTTTGATGCCCATATTATCAAGATGATTTTAATTGTATAACAACAAACACAATTTTTATGTCAGTCAAAACATTCGATTATGCCAACGAATTTATTCTCCTTTATTTAGGTACTTCAAGTAATTGCAATTCAAAAATCACCCTCATAAAAAGTGACTCAAAATCTAATTTAACAAAACTAACATCTTTTATGTACGACTGCTTGATTAGTGGCCATAATTTGCAATATTATGGACTAGTCCATAATGATAAAGTAAAACGGCCGCCGGTCAATGTGGCAGTCGTACTTAGGTGTCAATCCAAGGTAAATTCAAGTATTTTAGAAATACTTGACAAATGCTTGACATCTGTTATCAATGATATATAGATTTTGTATATAATGCGTCCATAAAGAGGCTTTATGGGGACTCGCCTTGTTTATTTTATATGAATAAACGTCCATAAAGACCCAGTTTATGTAGGTACTTGATATATAAATAGCTATTATTAAGGTTCTACGTGCAATCCCACTTGTTTTATAGTTCTGCATAAATTCGAAGCTTTATTTGCCATGGGATAGATAAGGAGATCAAAAATTACCTGATTTCGTGATTTTGAAGCGTAACTAATATACAGTACATGTCACTCATAAATGATCAGAGGGTTGTTCCTAAAAATACTGAAATCAAAACAGCTGTTTAATTTCCTTAATTTCCTTGCATCCAACCACTTGATTTATGACACCTAAAATTACCATACAATGAAACTTGATAATGGCAAGTAGGACCTAAAAAGGAAATCTTATCTTTTCAATGTGCAACATGTAATCGACTTGATTACAACGAAATCCAATTTTTGCAATTAATATCAAACTTTGTTCTCAATTTAGAAACGTTATCTCATTTCTCAATCAATAGGTGTATTAAAATTCTCTCCATCTGTTATAAATACGTACTAAGCTCTTTAGTTGGGAAAATGGTGTAGGTATAATAAAAACCTATACACCATGGTTGGAAAGGATCGAGAAAAGAGAGTGATCTTACAACTCACACGTACATAGATCTAATATTGTAACCCATTGCATCAGCTACTACCTATGAATAAATCAACTGATGCTTGCAATGCAAATCTTGAAAGCCGCGAAGCCGCAAAATAATTCTTCAGCGCTGTTTACGATTTTGCTCACCATAACATGAAATTCTTAAGTTGGCCAAAACACATTATAACAATTGAATTTGTACTTAAAGGTCATAGAGATACACAAGAGGTACAAACCCTTATTTATTTTAGCAGTCTGTCTGTTCTCCTAGAAGATAAGAGTTTTCTCATTTGTAAAAATTATTAGGTACGACAAATTTTGTGAGAATTAAATGGAAGGTAAGTGGGGTAGGTCTTCTATTTCGCAAGATATTTTAATTGCCCTTATTTTTCTTCGAATGTTTCAGTGGCTAGACGGTTGCCATGGCATGACTTCATGAAAGTAATAATTGTCTACTGCGTATCTCCGAAATCTTGGTAGGGGTAGCACTTGTTTATTCGGGTTGAGAATTATCTAATCGAAATACTAATCAGCTCTCCACTTGAAAATGGTATAAAAGCGCAACCCGAGCTTTCATAGTCACTTTTCAGCAGCAACATGTTCAAAATAGTACTGGTTGCCGTATTCGCCGCTCTTGCCGTTGGTAAGTATAGATACATTTTATAAAATAGTTTACTACAACAACAAAACGAAACAGAGGCAAGTCCGAGACTCCGTGTCCAAGTTCCCCAACTAGATGGAAGAATTGTGGGTGGAGTCGATACGACCATTGAAGATTATCCTCACCAAATTTCGCTCATGTATTTCACGAGCCACATCTGCGGTGGATCGATTATTGCTCGCAACCTAATTTTAACTGCTGCTCACTGCACTTACGGGTAAGACCAAGCCATCACTACAGAAGTAGGCACTAAGCTGCTTAAAATTGCAGCCAGTCCGCTCGAGTCCTAAAAGTCCGATACGGAAGCAGCGTAATGGACCAAGGAGGCAAAGTTGTTGCCGTTGTTCAGATCAACGATCATCCTAAATACAATCCTTCCAACATCGACTACGATGTTTCGGTTTTGAAACTAGCAGAAGACGTAGTCCTTTCGTCCAATGCTCAAATCATCGAGATGGTCTCTTCCAATACCCAAGAAGGTGGCCGTAACGCTTTCGTATCAGGCTGGGGAGCACTTTACTCCGGTGGACCCTCACCTAACCAACTCCAAGTCGTTGAAGTCGCAGAAGAAGACAGAGCTGCCTGCAACAGGGCTTATGGCGGAAAAATCACCGACAGGATGATCTGTTTCAAGAATCCCGGCAAGGATTCCTGCCAGGTACCTAATTGGCATACTTCATTTTCAACTTTCTAACATTATTTATTTAGGGAGATTCTGGTGGTGCTCTTGTCTCTGGTGGCGCTCAAGTTGGCGTTGTCTCTTGGGGATATGGATGTGCAGATGCCAGATACCCTGGAGTGTATTCGCACTTAACTGAGGCTGCCATTAGGGCACACATTGTAAGTGTGATGAACTAAAAGAATGAACAAAAATAAAAATGAAATTTAGCTGTTGTCGCTGAACGCTAAATTTGCATTCTTTTTGACTCTGCTTATGTTTAATTCCCCCGTCCCCCATTCCTTCCTCATAATTGCTTCGTCTCCATTTGTATAAAATGTAAACACTCAAACGGTTTATTGTGACTTGCTCTTCAATCTATAAACAAGGACGGAAGCCAATAACTAAATCACTCCAACAGGAATATAGTAATGAACTGTCTCCCTAACTGACAGATTCGAACCTTTTAATACAGTAATTTATTTCTTTAGTGGTGGGGGTACAAGTACTGACAAAACATTAAATCAATGAAGGTACTCAGTGGTACCAAGTTAGGTCACAACTGGTCTACTCGTCAGTTGCTCATTATATTCAGAACACTTGGAATTTGAACCGAATTACGTACCATACTTTTTCTACGACCTAAGTGAATTTCGAAATGAAAATAAGGTAAAACCCAAAACGACGTCTGTTGACAGTTTTGACATTTTTTCAGGAGGTCGTACAAAAAGGGACTTTAACCATTGAGTGAAAGATGTTTCACGCGATGGTGAATTTCCTTTTATCGTCGTGTGTAATACAAAATTTTATTTTATAGTAAAAGCCATATAAATCATTGGCAATTCGGAATTTAACTTAGACGTCAAAAATACCAAGTTTAGGTTCTGCTGTCGCGGTCATTTCCATAGAAACAACGAACCTCATTTTCTTTCGTGCTGCGCGTCCCATTTGAAATAAGATCAACGCTGTCATTAGAATGCACAATCATCTGTTTCACTTTCTCTACCCTTGCGGTTAAAAGTGGCCACTCCATCTACCCTAACAGTTAAAAAGCGATTTTTAACCGGTTATAGTTAACCGTTCGTTCCCTAGGCGTAGATGCTAGAGAAAATGGCTGCCACCGGAAGGGAGATTCGTTTTGTCAGAGTTTCACGTCGCTACCAAGATTACCAGACGTCACGCCATGCCATGTGACTCCTTTCTCTCGGGTTATGTGAAAGACAAGGTGCTTATACCACCACGGCCAAACAATATCGCTGAACAATCGGATAGTATTTTATTTAATACACCAAAATATATAATTTAAGTGTTTTTGTTTTCAAACACTCACAAAATCCAAAAAGGTAAAAGGAATATTTAAAAAAACATAAAAAACATAAAGGTAATTTTACAAACATATTTGTAAATTACTGGTAATTTTACTGTAAAATTACGTTTTTTTTTAAAATGGTAAGTTACATGAATTACATAAAATACCATAAAAAACATAAACAATTTGTAATATTACATATACATATATATCTATATAAAATCGTATGAATATTTACACTTCTAATTCTTAATTTCTCACCAGTACAAATTTAATTTTATAAGGCTTTAAGCTGTTCTAACCAGTCTAGTGCTTCTGGAGAAATGCGATGAAGTGCTTCAAAACCGGGATTAAACTTAGAATTTGGACATTCCTCAACTATATGTTGGATGGTTTCTTTAGGATCTCCGCATAGGCAGGCTGGATTGTGTTCTGGATTCCATTTGTGTAGTATATAATTGCATCTTCCATGTCCTGTTCTTATACGATTTAATTTGACCCACATTTTTCTTGGAAGATCATATCCTGCATTCTTTGATTAAATTTCGATTAAAAATTGTGTTATGCTGTATTCAAAAAATTTTCCAACTTTCTTTAATGGAATATACATTTGAATGTATATAGTCTTCTTTCCATAACGGGTTTCGTGATTTTAATCGATAAAAAGGTAAATTATTTAGATCTAAATTTATGGGGAAATCAGCGTTATTTTTATATTTGTCCCACAATTTTTTTAAAAACAATTCTCGTCTGATATTGGGTGGAGCAGTGTTTGAGAGAACATGTAACCAAGGTATAGGTGTAGATGTAAATGTACCGGTAGTTATTTTCATTGTTGTATTCAGTTGTGTATCAATCCTTGAGACATGGTGGCTATTTTTCCATACTGGGCAATAATACTCTGCAGTTGAATAAACAATAGCTAAAGCAGATCTTCTTAAGGTCCTAGCATTTGCACCCCAATCTGTGCCGGCTAATTTTGACAAAATATTATTTATAGTTTGTAACTTCTGACTAAGCTGTAATTTATACGTTAGTGAAGTGTCCAATGTTACTCCCAGGTAGATTGGTAGAAAATTGTATTTTAAATTAACATTATTTAATAAAACATTAAATTTATAGTTTGTCTGGTGATTGTTTAAATGAAAACAAATTACTTCAGTTTTTGAGGAACTGGGAAGTAATCTCCATTTCATGAAATATTGGCTAAGTGTTGTTAAGTCTTCCGTTAATTTTGTTTCAATTATTTTAAAGTCATTATGTTGAAAAGTAATCGCTAAATCATCCGCATAAAAGAATTTTCTGGAAAAGGATGTTAGAATATCATATATGTAAAGATTAAATAATAAAGGAGATAATACTGAACCTTGAGGAAGTCCGTTATTGATTAACGTGTAATTTCACATCACTAATCAATGCAGTCAACTCTATCGAAAGGGACATGTTAGAACCTATTTGGCAAAAGCCTCGAGTCTAAATTGTTGATGTGTGCCGTGAATGAAAGGACCATATATTGAACATTTAGGTAGTGCTCATGGAGCGCTTAGTCTAGTGACATAGCAATGACAGTTTTTATTAAAATTGAATATGCTTTAAAGACTTTCAGAAATTTTGAAATAAAACGATTCAACAAAGGTACGGCTTTTTAAATTGGTTGCAATTTAGGTCAGCCATCCACAGAATGGATTTTTTCCTCATATCAATGAAGTGCATATCCAAGAAATTTGGTTGCTATGACAGTAAGTATGTACTTACTTACCTACATACATCCAACCAAACTGATTTATGGCGTCTAAAATCACCACCTAATGAATCTTGATAATGACAAGTAGAGGCTAATAAAAGAATTTTATCTTTTAAATCTGGGCAATATGTAGGTACTCGACGTGATTACAACGGAAATTAAACTTTGCAATTCATACCAAACTTAGTTCCCCACGAGTGTACCTATTCAAATTTCAAACTGTGTCAGTCTGTTATAAATACTACATCCTTTGGTTGGAGAGGATCGACAAAAGAGTGTGCCACGCATTTAGGTGTAATATTTGGACCAATTGTGTCTACTATAAGTAAAGGCGCACCTTTCGATTTCATGCCCCTTGCAATGAAAATCTTTACAAGCGGCAAAGGTGGATGAAAATACACCGCAAATTGTTTAACGCTTTTCGCGATTTTGTTCAGCATTTTGTAACAAAATAACGAGTTTTCCTAAAAGATGCCTAACTCTTTAGTTTTCGTTGCGAGAGCAGTAAAATGCACTGTAAGAACTGAAACGAACTGAATTTGTTTTTGAAGGTCATGGAGATACACAAGAGATACTAGATACATAACCTTTATTGCTTCTATCGGTCCGACACGACAATTTAATTGCTCTATTTCTTCATCTGTTTCATAGTGGTCAGATCTAGACCGTTGCGATGGTTGCAATGGCATGACCTCATGAAAGAAATGATTGTCTACTCCTTGGAACACTTGTTTATTTCGAGTGAGAATTATCTAATCAAGGTACCCTCCACTTCAAAGTGGTATAAATGCGCAACCCGAGCTTTCATCATCACTTTTCAGCAGCAGCATGTTCAGAATAGTACTGGTTGCCCTGTTCGCCGCTCTTGCCGTTGGTATGTATGCATACATTTAATTTAAAAAAACTGTTTACTACAGAAGCAATAAAAAAAACAGAGGCAAGTCCAAGACTTCGTTCCCAAGTTCCCCAGCTAGATGGAAGAATTGTGGGCGGTGTCGATACGACCATTGAAGATTATCCTCACCAAGTTTCGCTCCTGGATTACATCGGTCATGTCTGCGGTGGATCGATTATTGCGCGCAACCTAATTTTAACTGCTGCTCACTGCACTTACGGGTAAGACCAAGTGATAACTACAGAAATAGGCACTAAGCTGCTTAAAATTACAGCATGTCTGCACAAGACCTAAAGGTCCGCTACGGAAGCAGTGTAATGGATCAAGGAGGCACCGTTGTTTCCGTTGTTCAGATCAACCAGCATCCTAGGTACAATCCCGTCATGCTCGACTGCGATGTGTCCGTCTTGAAATTAGCAGAAGACGTAGTCCTTTCGTCCACTGCTCAAATCATCGAGATGGTTCCTTCCAATACTCAAGAAGGTGGCCGTAACGCTTTCGTATCAGGCTGGGGAGCTCTTTACACCGGTGGACCCGCGCCGACCCAACTCCAAGTTGTTGAAGTCGCAGAAGAAGACCGACACGTCTGCAGCTGGGCTTACGGCGGAAAAATCACCGACAGGATGATCTGTTTCAAGAATCCTGGCAAGGATGCCTGCCAGGTACCTAATTGACATATTTGATTTTAGACGCTCTAACATAATTTATAGGGAGATTCTGGTGGTCCTCTCATCTCTGGTGGCGCTCAAGTTGGCGTCGTCTCTTGGGGATATGCATGTGCAGATGCCAGGTACCCGGGAGTGTATTCGCACTTGAATGAGGCTTACATTAGGGCTCATATTGTAAGTGTGATGGACCAAAACTAAAAGAATGAAGAAAATAAAAAAGAAATTTAGCTGTTGTCGCTGGCTAAATTTTTATTCGTTCTGACTCGGCTTACGGTTAATTATTTCCTCATCCCTCCTCGAGCTTGCTTCGTCTGCAATTGTAAAAAAATGTAAACACTCAAACGGTCTTTTGTGACATTCTCTTCAATCTATATTTTATATTCTAAGCTTCAATGCATAAACAAGAGCAGATGCGAATAAATAAATCACCCCGGCAGGAAATTCGACTTTCCTCCTAATCGACAGATTCATACCATTTGATACAATGGTTTATTTCTTTAGTGGCATCAATACAAGTACTGACAAAACAATAAATAGATAATTGATAGTCAAACGAAGGTACCAAGTATTACCAAATTCCGTCACCATTTGAGACATGAAACGCGAAATAGAAAACACGTTTCACGGAGAGGTCGTGGTGGACATTTTCGTGAGCATCAAAGATAACTTTAAACATCACTTTTACATTGGAATGAACTTGGCGAAAGATAACAATTCTTGTTGTATTATTCACAACTTCGCTCTAATAAATAGTTTTGCTTAACCGTATTTTTCCTATTGCATATTCGTAATGAAAGTAAAATATGTTGCCATTTAAAAAAAAACAAAATGGCGGCCCTGTCAAAAAGCCATACGGGCCAAAAAATTTCTTTTCATGCTAAAATATGCACAAACTCATGCTATTTAAGTGCTGAAACCTTAGACAAGGAAAGAATATGGACGCATAATTCACTAGCGGTAGTGTTACCAGCTGCCACATATTGACATTGGCCAGTGTCGTAGCATCCGTAAATGCGAATAGTGGCAGAAGCACCTAATTATAGCTAATAAATCACGTTGAAGTTGAACATACGAATGAAATTCGTGCGTTGCGCTATTTATTAATCAGACACGGGATAAACGAAACTTCCTCTCATCTTTTTTCGGAAATGCCTTCAAAACTAACTGTCCCTCCAGCTAAAGATTGTGATAAAATAAGAATCTTCATTGCTTTCTGTTTGATTTTTCACGTAAAGCCGTTTCCGTACCAATTTTCTCTTTGAAAAACGCGGAGTGCTAATGACTACGTCTATGGAGTTTATTGAATAATTCCGTCCTTGAAGACGTTTGTTATCAAAATTTGAATGCATGGGATTGGTCCTGTTGTAAGAAATTAAGTCAAGTCGCTCATTAAGGTATGAATTTTAACATATTAAAAGAAGAATATTCAAAGAAAAAACTTTATGAGGAAAAATAGGAAAATACGTGGTAACGGCATTAGGCACATTTTCAATATTTACGTTTGAAATGAAATTCCCGGTTCCTCCTTCTCACTCCGGCTTTTGCATCCACAATATGCACATTTCACCATGATTTTAAGTTGTTGTTTGTGTATTTCCTCTCAATTTAAGCGCAAAAACTCGTAAAAAACGATGTTACTTTAATGACATATGTGCCACATATAAAATGGCGGACTTGTTTAAAAAGGTAACACGATTCATACACGGGCTGTACGGCATACGCGGTATCCATACTCTTTCCTAATCTAAGGCCGAAACGATATGTCCAAACCGTTTTCAATGCCATCGCCTTGGTTATCCATAAATTTAATTAGCAACGTCATGTATACACGGAAGATGGCATTTAGAAATACGCATGGCGTATCTAGCTTACGCTTTCAACTACGTTTGATTAATTGACAGTGTATTTCGATACGGCTTTACGAAGGAAAAAATTAATGAAAATGGCACCGCACCAATCAAAGTTAAACAATGCATACTTCTTTCCGAACTTTCATAACATTATGGTATTTAAGGAGATTCTGGCGGCCCTCTTATTCTGGAGGTTGGGATCACCAAAGTTGGCGTTGTCTCTTGGGAATATGGATGTGCAGAAATGCCAGATACCTGGAGTGTTTCGCACTTAACTGAGGCAGCCATTAGGGCAGCATATTGTAAGTGTGATGCACTAAAGAATGAACAAAAATAGAATGAATTTTAGCTGTTGTCATTGGAACGTAAATTTCATTCATTTGACTCAGGTTTTATGTTTAATTCCCACCCGTTCCCATATCCTTCCTCATGCTTGACAATGCATCGTATGCAATTGTGAAAATGTCCAAACGTTTTTGTGATGCATAAAAACACGAAAGCGTATGCGTTTTTTCCCTGAAGTTTATTTATTTAAAAGTTAGTTTTGAAGAAAGAACTTTCAATCACCACAAACTATCATTACAAACAATTGGTCCTAATACATGATAAAATTAACTAAAAAGATCGGTACCCTGAAAACATTCTTTGCAAGCGTTCAATCATAAACGAAAAGAGGCACGAAACTAAAGCGTCTTTGAATATATGGCGTTAAAAGCTTACTCGCAAATATTCAAAACTAGGTTCGATTGAGCAACCTAAAATTACAAACAGAGTTAAAAAAGTCTTATGCAAGCAATAAATAACGAGAGCATTTTTAGTCCTGCTTAATAGTAATTTGTCCCAAAACCTTTTGATGCTTTCGTAAATAGCATTGCGCATTGTCTACATTAGAAATTTTATTGAATACTACCTTCATAAATAAAACATACAGCATGCGTAAACAGTAATTTTGAAACCGGTATTAGTTTTAGTTTCATTCAAAGTGTCTACATATGATATTTCATTTAACTGCTTTCATAAATAATAAAGTTGCCATTGCGCATGCGCAAAACCAAATTTTAAGATCGGTGTTATTTTTGCTTGTATTCCAAGTGCCTATGTATTAAATTTCATTTAAATGCGTTCATAAATAGGAAAGTTGGCAATGCGCATGCGCAAAACAACATTTTGAAAACGTCGTTAATTTATTTAATTTTAATTTTTTAAAGTTTCATTTAAATATCTTCATAAATAAAAAAGTTAGCATTGCACATGCGTTAATCCAAATTTTTGACACTGCGCATACGCAAAATCGAAAAATATCGGTACGCACGGAATCCTTGGACCAAGCCATTTCAAATGAGCCCTATATCGCCCAAATCGGTTCAGTGGTGTAGAAGGAGTACGTGTGACGGACGGACGGAGACAAAGTGCAGCCAATAGCGATTTTTCACTTTGAGGAAAATACGCTAAAAACTGTGAGTGATAACACCGCTGCAGAAGAAACGAAGAAGCTCCATTTATAGACGTCAAAATGAACACGTATTTTATCTTAAAATAATTTTAAAAGGTGCCCAAAATTTGAGTCCGCACATCATTTAAGGGTAACAGGGTTTGGATATTCGTGTTTAGAGGGAATGGGACCGAAATCTCAAAAGCAACATTCGACCAGCGTGCGATGCGAGCAATAACAGTGTTTTCACAAAATCTCATTTCGTAACCTTTTCCCACATTTTCAAAATCAACATTGACAAAATTATGGTTTTCAAAATTGTTTAGGTCGACCATCGATAGAATAAAATTTTGTTGCTATGACAGTAAGGATTACCCACTTACATCCAACCACCTGATTATGGCGTCTAAAATCGAAACTTGATAATGACAAGTAGAGGCTAATCAAAGGATCTTATCTTTTAAATCGGTGTAATCGACGTGATTGCAAGGGAAATTCAATGTTATGCCAAACTTTGTTCTCAATTCAGAAACGTTATCTCATTCATCAGTGGGTGTATTCAAATTATGTTTACACATAGGTTCTTTGATTGTCCCAAAAAAGGACAGGCTTAGGCTGGTGATTTCCAAAACCTTAGTTTCGGTTGAAAGAGGAACGAATTTGAAGGTGCTTCTTTATTTTATCGGTCGGTCAGTTCGCCTGGAAGATACAGTTTTCTTATTATTTTGTAGAAATTCTCACGATATATTCTGTTTGAAAGCAAACGTAAATAAATAGTGATCGCTATGTAACAACTTCTATTTCGCTTCATGTAGAAGCAAGACATTTTAATTGCCCTTTTTCTTCTTCTGCTTCATTTAGATCTAAACGGATATCCCGATTGCAATGACATGATCTCATGAAAGAAGCGAATGTCTAGTGCAAAACCTGTTGATTCCCATTGAGAAATATCTAATCAAAGTAGTAATCAGTCCTCCACTTGAAAACGGTATTAAAGCGAAACTCGAGTTTTGATCATCACTTTTCAGCAGCAACATGTTCAAAATAGTACTGGTTGCCGTATTCGCCGCTCTTGCCGTTGGTAAGTATATATCAATTTCGAAAAACATCTTCCTATATCAACATAAAAAAACAGAGGCAAGTCCGAGGCTCCGTCCTCAAGTTCCCCAGCTAGATGGAAGAATCGTGGGCGGCGTCGATACGACCATTGAAGATTATCCTCACCAAATCTCGCTCATGTATTTCGGGAATCACATCTGCGGTGGATCGATTATTGCCCGCAACCTAATTTTAACTGCTGCGCATTGCAATTACGGGTAAGACCAAGTCATAATATTACAGAAGTGGGCACTAAGCTGCTTAAAACTACAGCCAGTCCGCTGAATCCCTAGAGGTTCGGTACGGAAGCAGCGTAAGGGATCAAGGAGGCATCGTTGTTGCCGTTGATCACTTCCATGACCATCCCGATTACAATCCGGGCAGCAATGATTACGATGTTTCGGTTTTGAAATTAGCACAAGACGTAGTGTTTTCGTCCAAGGCTCAAATCATCGAGATTCCCCCTTATAATGCCCAAGAAGGTGGGCGTATCGCTTTCGTATCAGGCTGGGGCGCCCTTCACTCCATTGGACCCTCACCCAACCAACTCCAAGTTGTTGAAGTCGCAGAAGAAGACAGAGATACCTGCAATAAGACTTACAACGGAAAAATCACCGACAGGATGATCTGTTTCAGAAATCCCGGCAAGGATACCTGTCAGGTACCTAATTGGCATACTTGATTTTAGACGCTCTAACTAACATAATTTATTAGGGAGATTCTGGTGGTCCTCTCGTTTCTGGTGGCGTTCAAATTGGCGTCGTGTCTTGGGGATATGGATGTGCACATGTCATATACCCTGGAGTGTATTCGGGCTTAACTAATGTGGCCCTTAGCGATCATATTTTAGGTATAATGGGCAAATATTATTACCCGGAATCGTCATGAAATTCTTAATTTTCATCCCTACTTTAGGTTAAGAAATGTTAGTTTCCAAGACAGTGACAGTAACACTTTACCTGACTACTTTTCAATTTTCATATAGAACTTTGTCAGTGATTACAGATGTCATAGACATTACAAATGTGTAAAGACCAGACTACTCCTGCCGCTTTGCATGTCACATTTGTAGTGTCTAATGACTTCTGTCATTACTGGCACATAATATATTAATCAGAAGTTCTATAGTATGAAAATTGCAATTTTATACTAAAAAGACCATTTCGGGAACAATTTAATACAAAACTGGTCAGTAAAATGGCACTACTTAACTCGAAAACTAAAGTACTCGATCTCACGGGGGCCTCGAATGTAATGTGTCATTTTTCTGACTTTTATCATTGAATATAAAGTGCTTATTCAATGCTTTCATGTAAGTAACTACTGATTTGGTTCCTTCATTTTTAATAATTGATAACATTCCATTTGTGATTCTATTACAATTTTGTGATCACGTTGTTCTGCGTATAATAAAAATTTGCTCTTACAATAATTAGGCGTATTCTTGGCGTTGTATATTTTGAAGTAATCGTAAGTACCTTATTTATGCTCACATTATGCTATTTTTTCTCATTTTCAATATTTTTTTATTTTTTATTTTGTCTTTATTTTTGAGTGGGCGGGGGTTCAGCCAAGGCTGCTCTACCAACCCAACCCAAGGTTGTTTTATTAGAAAGGTTGTCTGGTAACTCTAAACCAATAGAATGCTTGCATTTTGAAGGCGGGAAAACGTCATTCAGAATTCACATTTAAAATTGCTCATAGGTTACAATGCTAATAAAAGTGGTAAAAAATTTAGCTTTTTGCAGTATATTTTTGGATTTATATGGGTATATGTATATAAGGGTGGATCTTATATTGGAAATCTTGGAAGTTTAAACTTCCACCTTTGAAAGCAATCAAAGTATTGCAAAAATGAGTGTGGTGCGTAAGCTGTTTTACATTGCACGAGGAAATTAATTTTAGAGGTGGAAATGGATAAGATTCCGCGTTCTACAAAATAGGAACCACCCCTATGTACCAATACCTAGCCTTTGGGAATTAAAACTCTAAACATTCTTTAGCGGATGACGCCAAATAAAATGCTGTTGAGTTTTATGGAAAATGTATATTTATAGTATGTACAAAATGGTAACCGAGGTGCACACGGCGAGCTCTGTCGTTGGGGTGAGCCCAGATGCAGGTCTTCTGACTGATGGAGTGTGGCGCGAGGTCGAGCTGGCAAGGCGACCTGGTTCTGCAGGTGGAGAGCTTTTTGTTTCTTGAAGTGCAGTCGAAGCAGAAATTGCGTTGCACTTTGCAGAGTTCGTGGCTCTGCTTTTAAACGTTTGCGGCCAGGGAGGGACGCCACGTTTTCATTGGTTGACCGTTTTGACCAATGAGGGCGCAGCACATTTTAGTTTGCTGCCGGATGTGAAACATTTTCTTACCCATTCTTTAAGAACGGTAGGGTCCTTGGGAAACGTAAAAACCGAGATTTTATTTACACCAGGATGAGGAATTTTAGTGTTACCGCCACTCATCTAAAAAAATATTTAATTATAACATACAAAAGTGCATATAATTGATGAACTAACCTTTCAATCACGGCTATGAAAACCCACAAAATTCACAAACCAAATGTCTTTATATTGCACCAAACAGGTATCTACACCTAAAATATGTCCTTAAGCACTTCAAAATTCAACAAATTTTAAACAAATAAACTATAACTCAAGAAAAATAAGCACCCGCGCGACTACAAAACAACCTTGAGCGTCAATGTCTGAATTCTCGATGACGTATACATTACGTCCCTCCCGCTTCCGCCCACATAGTTACCAGGTAACCTTTGAAATAAAATAACCTTGAACCCAACCCACCATATATTTACAAATATCCAACGCCGAACCCGGATTCGAACCAGGAACCCTTAGCACCACAGTTCAGCTTTAACTGAACTGCGCCACCCGGGCCGGCTATTGACGTGATAAGTTCACCTTGTCAATATGCCTAGACTAGGACTAAAAAATTCCTCTAAAGCCCGGTCAATAACTGTAAGCTATTATGCATGTAATGCGAATAGAAATAGTAAGGAGCGAAAAATGGGAAGTGTTTTAAGAAATGATGTACCCTATCTCATTTACCTCTTTCATGATTATTTCACGTAAGTAAGCGGAAATTTTACCGAAATTCATACAGAACTGTAGGAAAATTATTAGGTTATTTAAAACTGGCAATCCAAACTTGGTCGTTAGAATTGGCGAACAATTAGAAGTCTAGGTATAATTCGTTTAAATGTCAAATGTAGAACCCCAAATGCAAATTCGAATTTTTGAAAAGTTACGTTTCGGGTGACCCTTATGATGCTTCTTTGGGGATAAACTTGATCTTCAACACTTTATACCAACCAACATCAAGACAAGTATACCTAAAATTTACAATGACTCAATCTTGTACAGGAGAATGTGTGCTTTTTTCGGTTTTGACAGCATTTTTATTTTTTATGTATAGTGGAGAATCAAGCTTTCAACCATAATCACGAATCACTTGACATCCATTGCATTGGTAGAATACAATATTGTTAAGTGCAGTTTATGTTATGTGATCTTGCTTAAGATTTCTTTGGCTAATTGTCCTGTTTTGGGGTCCGCTCATACTTATTCGTAATTGTTGATAGCAAATCGTATAACGTAAACAGAAAACCACCCCTAACAAAATTCGAATGAATAAATCGTACAAAAAAATCATACGGAAAATCGTAAGCAAAATCACATAACGTAAATTGCACTTAACGATTTATTCTTAAGTTTAGCTTTGTTTACGGCTTACATTTACTGCTTATCGAAGAACCCCCGTATAATAGCATTGAATCAATTTGATAGAGGGCTCCACCTATTGGTGGAATGTTAACCACGCATATTTGCCTTGATTTTCGGTGTCTATATTTATATGAATTTAATTATTTTGTTGTTTAGTTATGTTATGTTTTTCTTGTGTTTCTTTCTTTTTCTTTTTTCTTATTACACTAAATAATTGCGCGTTAACTATTAAATATGTATTGTCCTGTAATTGGAATGTCTGTGCTGTTGGGCAATAAATCTCTATTATTATTATTATTATCGAGATTATTATTATTATCAAAGTACACGTCGATTAAAAAATCAGCTGAAAGCGTAAGGTAAAAGGCATGGGATTCGCATTGCCGTCTTCCGAATATCTCGATCTCTGGCGATTGAATTCATAATTTGGTAATTCTGTAGTGATTAGTTTAGACGGGATTCGCCTGTGCTCTCAGTGGAGGATTTACATATGCGTTTTACCCTTTTGAAGTAAGTACCGCCATGTTGCACCTCGTTTATTTATCGTGTACCTTCTTTACGTTTCGGCTGTAATTTGTTGTAATGTAGTTTCCATCGATAATCGTTGCTTCATCGCCCCTAGCAACTCCGTTCCGTATAAAAAGCGTTTATTGTAGACTCAAACCCTACGTATATAAAATAAGCATAAATGTCCACCGGATATTGCTATATTTTTGTAGGAATATTATGCGTTTATTATTTCTCATTGATATACGATTATAGCGTAGGTATACGCGTATTTTAAAGTGTTGTTATACATGGTGGTGTTCTTAAGTGGACCATTAGAAGTATCTCGGGAACGGTTTGGAATTTTGATTCGGGACCCATTGCCTTTTTTAAATAATCGATCAAAAGGAATCATTTAAAAATATTTTCAAGATGGCCGCTTTTCCGGTTGTATCAGAACGATACCGATGCTTTCTTATTTCAAATGGCACTATCTTTTCTGATGGCACTATTGAATTCCTCATAAAAAATCAGTATGATTTTGTGAATGATGCTATGTCTAACGGCCATGGTTTCGCAATTATTCGACATGCTTTTACAGTTTCAGAGGTTCAGTAAATTAACCATATCACTGTTGTTTGACAACTTAGCAAAATGTTTTTTTCACGAATGGACAGCTAAAAGTCAACGCTACCAAATGTTATTGGTCTGATTTTCAAATGTGATTCGAAAATAATACGAATAAGCGTTCAACTTTGTTTTTTCTTATGGAAGCCATTTTCTTTTATTTTCAATTTCAAAACGCCATTATGTTAAGTACCAAAATATGCAACTTTTCCCAATTTAAACTACCTATAATCCCTTATACTTACCGAGATCCGCATGGTAGCCCTCGAATTTGAATCAGGCTGTATTTGTTTCGCTGATTGGAAATGTTGCATCTTTCTCAATTTGACGAAACCGTATTCTGCGATTTTTCTCAAAACTATACCATAGATTTTACCCAGATCTTTTGACGCGTTCGCATTTCAGACGTCCTGAACGTGGTTTATTGACAGGAAATTCGATTGGTTTTGTCATATCCGAATTTCTAATTAGAAATAAGTACAGCACTAACCTGGAAATTCTCCAATGGACTTCGTATAACTCCGCCTGTGGTAGCAGTGTCTCTGACCGAGTCGATCAATTATTGGCTCAGAAAGAACATTGCAATCACTGCCGGTCCCAAGCCCGGATAAAGGAGGAGGGTACGCAGGTGAGGTAAGTAACATACCAGTAGTAAAACAGTCCTTAATGAAATGTCAGAGAACACATTCAGAAAATAAACAAATTACAGGTGACGTGAAAACGGGAGTGATTATGGAAAAGTCCTAGAAACCAGAACGTCACGTCGTGGAGGCAGGGCCAGAACTACTCAAATCTCCGCCCCCCCCCCCCCCCCACCCAATTAAAAGCATTTTATACCCCAACCAATATAATTTTTTACTCTTTACAGAAAACTGTTACTACGATTTTCTTCGCCCTAATTGATTTAATGAGCAGTAAAACCATTTTTTATATTAATTACCTATGAGATTTAAAAAGTGTTATTGAAACAAAGTATAATATCTGTAGTTTGAATTACAAACAGATAACTGTTTAATATTTAAAGAAAATGTACTCCTTTTTTTAATATTTCCATCATTACATCAACAGGTGATCATAAGGGGCTATATCTAATTTTATTTTTAAGAATATACGTTATTACTTGATATTTACAATGTGAAATTCAGAAGTGGTTCTCCAAAGTACCTACCCCAGGTAACGGACGATCAAAAATGAGTTGCTGTAGAGTCGCCTTTGGAAGTTCAAGTTAAGTACAATTTCTCATGTAAACAAAAATTATAAAGGTGACTCGACAGCAACTCATTTTTGATCGCATAGTATTAAAATTGATAAAAATGGCTAAAGGACACCTTAATTAAGTGCTTTCAACAAAAATACTTGCGGGAGAAGCCCTAAATTGTTCA